GATAGTCCCGGCTCCGCGGCGCGACCGCCGGCGCCACCAGAGGAGCCAGGATACGCCTAGGATACCCGTAACGCAGTCTCACTCTGATCTGGGTTATGTCCCCATTTTCGCGCTGTGAGCCACCGCGCTACACCTGCTAGCTGTGCGCAGCTACACCGCTGCGAGCCTGCGCGCAGAGCGCGCCGCCCGCAGCAGATCCACCGCTCGCGAGCGGCGGATAGCCCCTGGAGCCAGAGCGCGCGCCGCCGCAGAGCCCGGCGTCGCGCCGCGCTCCGGTCCAGGCCCCACCAGCGCCCGCGCGGACCGCGCGCGGCGCAGCGGCGAGGACACCAGCACCCCGCCTTCCTACAATGCCGCCGCGGACCCGCGCGGGCGCGGCCGGCGGCGGCGACGGCGACGACGATCCGACGCTCCTCAGCATCGTCGAGCTGAACAAGCTCTTCAAAGACGTCGTCATCTTCACGCCGCAGAGCGGCGTCCATGACGCGAACAAGGCCCTCTTCAGGGCCTGGACGCGGTCGATCATGCTCCACGCGCCCGTGCTCGAAATCGTCGGACGGCACGCCAAGGCCGACTTCGGAGACATCTACGACGGCGAGTGGGCCAAGATCGACCAGTCCGAGCGGCCGCAGGCCGAGCACATGCTCGCCTACTTCCTCAAAACGAAGACCGCGGCCACGGCCGCGAGCCTCGTCCGCAGCCTCGCCAGCAAGGGCGCCGACGCCAAGGAGATGTTCGTGAAGCTCGCCAAGATGTACGGCACCTACAACGACCAGGGCGTCAGCATCCGCAAGCAGCTCGCGGCGCTCAGCATGCGCACGCTCGGCGGGCCGACCGAGCTCCAGCTCGAGCTCGACGACCTGTCGCAGCTGTACGAGGACACGTGCGGCCACGCCCTGCCCGAGGGGCAGGTGCGCCAGTACTTCCTCGACGGCATGGACCCGCGCGGCGGCCGGAGTCACCCGGACCTGACCGCCGCGCACGACATCTACGTCGCCCACGGAACGTCGGTCGACGAGATGGTCGAGGCCGTCATCAAGGCCATCGAGGCGCGCGCCAACACGCCGAACCCGCTCACCTTCGGCAAGGCGCCCGGCG